AAAAAAAAAAAAATTAGGCAATTAAAAAATGCAAACCACTCAATCAATGACTAGACAGTTGATCTGGTTATTACAAAGGAAGGTGAGGGCTGAAAGGCACTTTGTCTTTAAATACAGAAAAAACTGACACATAGATACTTGTTCTGTAATATCTAACAAAAAGTCTCCCTCCCTCCTTAGTAGTTGGCCTCCACACAGTTCACATTCTCAACTATTCAATAAATTTTCTTGCTCAAGATCATCGCACACTTACAGAATTAAATCCCATTAGGAACAAAAGTATTCCCAGACTATAATCTGGGACCAGAAAGAACATGGCCATCAGCTTGAACTTCATTGCTATGTGAATTCTAGAGCCAAGGTGCTGGGATAGGATGAAACTGAGGAAGGGCTGAACTTTTGTGTTTTGGGAAGCTGTATTCCCTTCTGCCCCACTCAGTTCCCCCAGGAGTCCTTAAAAGCTCTTCTGAGTGAGAAAACCAGCAGCTCACTTTTCCAGCCAGGGCAGTGAAAACCAGAGTCACTTAAAACACCATGGTTGCTAAACTACTTTGACACCTGACCCTAGAACAAAACCTACCAGAGTTCATGACAGCCAAAGCAGCAGATTGTAGGCTCTCCCTTTGGTTAAAAAAAGAAATTGAAAAAATTTGGGCCTGGCCTAGCAGCAGACCCTCCCTCCCCTTTCAATAACTCACCAGTTCCTCTGACTGAAGGCAGGGATGCTGGTCAGGCTCTGGTCACTGGCAGGGTAATATTGTGCATATGATGGGCGGGTGTAGGGAACTGACGTGCGTTTGTCTTCCTCATAACTTTTCTTTGCTGCTTTTTTCTCAGCCTTGGTCAGTTTGTGATCCTTTCGGTTGAGGAGCAATGACTCATGCTCGAAAGGCTCCTAGGGACACAGGGGGATGTTGATTTAATTACCAGTCTTTGTGCCAGCATGACTGACTGCCCTGCCAACATACTGATGGACAATGAACGTTACTTTGAAACCAAGAAGGGGCTGGCTCTCTCCAGCACTCGTAAAGAGCCTGCTCATAGGCACACATAAGCAGGTTTACTGTCTTTCTGTCATAATTCTAACCTAGTACCCACTTCAGACACCTAAGCCTGTTTTCTCTATTAGAAAATTAAGAAACTACATTTTCAGAACTTCCCCCCTCTCTTTCTGCTATATAAACTCACAATGGCCAAATTATTCCACATGTCTGAGCTCAGTACTCCTAGAATCTGACAAAGGGTAGAAGCAGGTGGTTGGAGTAGAAAAGGGACTATCTGGGTCAAGGAAAAGAATCAATTGCATCCCAGATGTCTGAATGAAATACAACTTCAAATGAAGAAAGCAAGCTTGTCAGACAAGCCTCCTCTGACAGAGTCTGCCATGCTTGGGGACTTCATACCTACTGGGTTCTTACCTTGGTGATGAGGTGAGGGTACTTCAAACAAGCAAGCTGTAGAACTGACTCCTTGATACCTTTTACATTCAAGGATGCTTGGGGAGCTGGCTCCTTCTCAACAAAGTGCAGTAGGTTTTCCACCTCTTTCCGGGTAAAGTTCAGCATTGGATTTAGATCATCTACCACCCGATCTAGAAGAGAGAAGAAATAAAGAAAGATAGCACATGGCAAAGAAGATTAAAAACACAATTACAAAGGTTAGCAGGGAGAAAGGAGGTTTTATGTGGCAGAACTGTCACTACTGATGAAAAGTCATCCCATACCTGAAAGTCAAAGGTCAAGACCAGGAATGATAGTGAATGCCTATAATCCTCATCACTTAGGAGGCTGAGGCAAGAGAAGGCTGGGCAACTTAGAGAGACCCTAAGAGAGACCCTACAAAGGGCTGGAGGTATAGTTCAGTATTGGTTAAATTTCTGATATGGAAAAAAAAAAAAAAAGTCTAAAACCAGGTCTAAGGCCCTGGTGAAATGAAAACATCAGAAGAAAAAATTGCATAATTAGCTTGGCTCTTGTCATTAAATCCATCTTCAACAATGTGAGGTCAATCCCTTTTAATGATTGGAATGAGAATAAGAAGGGAGGAACTGCTGGTTTTCTAAGATTCCTCACCTGCCTATGATCCCATACCCTGCTCTTCCCCTCCCACCTTTGATACTATAAGGAAGGCAGCTTGTATAGATGTACCTCTGGAATGCCTCCAAGATAGCCCACCTGACATGCCCTGCTTGGAAATCTGACGATCATAGATCTTCTTTTCAAGCGTATAATCAGCCACCAAACGATAGATGTGACAGGGCTTTTTCTGGCCATAACGGTATACCCGACATACTGCTTGGGCATCATGGCAAGGGTTCCAGGAAGCATCAAACACCACCACTCGATTGGCGCCAATTAGATTCACACCCAAGCATCCGGCCCTTTAAAACATAAGGTAATAGTCATTGAGTCTTTAGTCTTAAAGAAGGTTTTTTATCAGCTTTACCCTCCCCCAACATCACTCTTCATTTTAAGCACAATATACTCAAGAATTTTGCTGTCCTGCTGAAAAATAGTTATGTTCCTCAAGCACTGAAAAGTATACTCTTAAATCCAACATGGCCGTGCCTACAACTCTCTATTCCTCTGTAACAAGTAAGGCCCCACATCCTGGTTCCAGAATGATATCCTTGGTCAGGGGATATTTCTACACACAGATGTTTCCAGTGTTTTTACTCTAATCACTGAGGGGAGTGACAGGCTCATACCATGCTATGGAACATTCCGGTGGCAGAAGGCAGCACAGCTTTTGAGGTACTTGGCATGAGACAAAGGATGCATCAGCCTTTTATGATTACTTTGTTCACTTTTTCAGGCACTTTCAATTTATCACATTGTCTATGCCTCAGAACAATTCTCAGAGAAAAGCTAATTATAAATGTTAATAAAAGTCTCAAAGAACTTTATATCACTACCACAACTGCTCTTCTACCACAACTTCTTTTTGGGATCCCCTCTCTGATCTCAAAACAAGTTACAAGGCCAGGTGCGGTGGCATACACTTGTAATCCCAGTGGCTCAGGAGGCTGAGACAGGAGGATTACTAGTCAAAGCCAGCCTCAGCAACAGGAGGCACTAAGCAACTCAGTGAGACCCTGTCTCTAAATAAAACACAAAATAGGGCTGGGGATGTGGCTCAGTAGACGAGTGCCCCTGAGTTTAATTCCTGGTACTAAATAACAACAACAAAAAGAACAAGTTACAAACCTGAGTAGACTTCAAACCTGAGAGCCTTTGGGGTATATGACTATGTGGCCAATTGTTTGAACACACGCCTTTGACCTCCCCTCACAGGTTTCACTCACCTTGTGGAAAGAAGGAACAGCCAGGTGGTGAGGTTGCTGGGATCATTGAACTGATTAATGAGTCGCTCCCTCTCAAAGGCAGGGGTGCTACCATCTAGCCCTAGGAAGGAAGGAAAAACCACAAGAAGTATACAGATGAGAGCAGGGATATTCAGCAAAAATCACTAGGAAATGTGTTTTATGAACAGAAACACTACAGTGCTCAGATCCCACCCCTAGACATATCATGGGGCTACAGTGAGTCCAGGCTTCCACAATGTAAAAGTACTCTCAGGTGATTCTCACATACGACAAGGATCATAAACTACTTTTCTGCCCTTTTATCTTAGGGTGAATTCTAAGACCAAGGCTCTTAGATTTAAGAGTGCATGTACTCACCTAAGAAGCTTAAAAAACAAAGGTTCAAGGTGATCTCTCTACCTCAGCCCAGGGAGTCCTGGGGTAAGTTCAGGGAGACTAAGGATTCTGTGTTTTGGTATGGGTAACATTCCTCCACCAGATATTTGCATTTTTAACAAGCTTCTTAGGCTAAGAACTTGCTTTAAAAAGACATAAGAGCAATAAAGTTGGAGCAGTTGAATGTAACACATGAATGAAAAGAGGAGCTCAAAAGGGAGAGGGAAAAAATATATCATACTATTATGGAAGCAATAGTATAACTGCTCAGTATTGTGGTCCTCAGTGAGGACCCCAGCCTCTCTCTCCAACCTGCATTCTCACAATTTCAAAGCACAGATCACCACTGACTCATTGGGCAAGTCTACAGTGAACACAAGTTCTGTGCCACACCCTGTACTTCGGTCTCCTTGCCACCCTCTAAACCTCCATTCCTCTGAATCTTTCCCTTAGGCCAGTGGTTCTTACAGAGCATGGTTTCTCTACTCTTGCACTTTCCAGGGGATATTTGGCAATATGTGGAGACATTTTTGATTGTCAAAATTGTCTCTAGTGAATAGAGACCAGAGATGCTGCTAAATATCTAACAATACACAGGACAGCTCCCTATAACCACAGTCTGGCCCAAATGTCAACAGAGCTGAGGTCAACTATTTCTCAACTTTTTTTCCATTACCATTCCCCTAAGGACCGTTTTTAGACATTTCCCCCCATCACATCATGTCTTCCATGAAATTTTAATACACAGATATACTATACATCTGTTTATGCATTATATATAGAGAGATATATATATGTGACTTATACATTGAAAAAAGTTAAGAATTTTCACACGCACACACACACAAATTTTCACCCTTTTACAGGTATTATTTTCCCCACAGAGAAAGCAGGACTGACGTATGCTCACTCTGCTCTTCTGCCTTGGAATAATTTTCAGGCCACTCTCACTCTATATATTCGAATTCTCCCCATCTTTTCTGAAACACTTCTCCAGCCAGTCTCACTACACTTATCTATCCTTCTTAGAATCCCAGAATGGGCAATCAGTGCTACATTTGCATTGGAGCTATTACATCTCAAATGAAGACAAGGGCAATGCCTTCCACTTCTCTACATGCCTCCTATTTTTCCCAAATCCCCCCAGTCCCTAATATATTGATTCATTCATAAAAGTTGGCTCTTAGGGTCTCCCTGCTCCTAGGCTAATCACAGATCATTTTTATGCACTGATGGCGAGCAAAGCATGAGAAGAGGAAAGGAGAGAGAAGGAAATCAGATCTTTCCAAGGCTCCAGGAACGAAGCAGCAATAAACTCACGGAAGTAGCTGACATTTCGAACCCACTTCTGTGCTCCCTGCCCTTCAGCACCAGGCAGACAGGGCACTTCTCGTTTTCCCAGGAACTCTTCAATGAGAGCCAAGGTGGAAAGGCTCTGGCTGAAAGGGAAAATATGGTTCAGATGGCTCGCAGATCCCAGGAATCTTGTTCCCAATAGGCCTATATTCATGTACAACCTTCTGACAATGGAAGCTCCCACAACCTATTACCCATAAGCAGCAACCCCACCAAGAACAAGCAAAGATATTCTGCCTAGCTCATAATGGAAGCAGAGTCATCTACACTCTTATTACCATCACTTCACTGAAAAAAATAAGTCTCTCCATCCTTATTTCCTCCACTAAGAAATTTGGGGGTTTAGCTCAACACTCAAATAGCATTAGTACTACAAACCAATACCAAGTGAATATACATTAAATCTAATCATGAGCCACAGGCAATCTTACGGATCTTGATAGGGAAAGAAAATGACTTGGCTTCTTCTAAAACAATGCAGATGGCCAGTCTTCCCTAAAGTAATCCTTAAAATCAGAGGTCACTACGTTCTCCCAAGTTAGAATCATTGCTGCCCTCTCAAAGAATGTCACATGTATGCATGTATGAATATATCACAATGAATCCTACTTTTATTCAGAAGTACAATGTATCAATTTTTAATATAAGTAAATAGAAGGGAGATCAGTATAGCAAGGAAGGGGACTAGGAGAAGGGAGGAGGCAAGAGAAAGGGGAATTACCATAGAATGAAATGGAGCAAATTATGTTTTGTACACATATGATTATGTCAAAATGAAATAATAAAAACGGGCTGGGGCTCTAGTTCAGTGGCAGAGCGCTTGCCTAGCACATGTGAGAGACTGGGTTCAATACTTAGTACTGCATAAAAATTAACAAATAAAGCCATTCGGTCCACCTACAACTACAAAAAAATTTTTTTAAATAATAACAATAAAAACATAATTTAAATGTGTCCCATGTAGAGGCTCCCAAGGTAGGCTCCTGCCACTTGGCTTTTCTCGGGGCATAATCTGGTCAGAAGAAAAAAGGAAAAGCAATTTACTACATGTCTGTTTTCCTGGGAAGTCCATTCTTAATGAGACTCAAAGACTGACAATGTGACTATGAAACAAATCATCACTTACTTGGCCTTATATACAAAACTTTTATAGGGGAGGTATAAAAGCAGATTAGAATAGGGATCAGCAAAGGTTTTCTGTAAAGGGTCAAATAGCAAACAAACATTTTAAGCTTTGTAGATCACATATACTCTGAGAATATTTTGTTGTTGCTCTTGTTTTACAACCCTTTAAAATTTCCAAAAACTACTTTTAGCTCTCAAGTGGAAGAAAACAGTTGTGGTGCACACGTCTGTAATCTCAGCAACTCAGAAGGCTAAGGCAGGAGGACTGCAAGTTCAAGGCCAGCCTGAGCAATTTAAGTAAGACCCTGTCTCAAAATCAATAATAAACCAGGCACAGTAGTGCATGCTCATAATCCTAGTAGCTCGTGAGGCTGAGACAGGAAGATCACAAGTTCAAAGCCAGACTCAGCAAAAGTGAGGCGCTAAGCTACTGAGACCCTGTCTCTAAATAAAATACAAAATAGGGCTGGGGATATGGCTCAGTGGTTGAGTGACCCTGAGTTCAATCCCTGGTACCTAAAAAATAAATAAATAAATAGGTTGAAACTGTGATTCAGTGGGAACAAAAACCAGCCACAGGGGCTAGGGTTGTGACTCAGTGGTAGAGTGCTTGCCTAGCATGTTTGAGGCACTGAATAGATTCTCAGCACTACATATAAATAAAAGAATAAAATAAAGATTCATTAACATATATATAAACCAGTCATGGGCTGTATCTGGTCAAGGTCATAGTCTGAAGGATTAGACAATGATCTCTAATGTTAGCTTAGGGTTCTAAATTGTTCTCTGTGGAGAAAATGCATTGGACAAAGAAAGATACTCCAAAAGAGAAAGACAAAATGCAAGAAAGGTCCTCACAATAAGTGTTTGGTTGAAAAGGCACTGCAAGAGAAAAAGGAGCTAATGTGAGCCTACTTGGTCTCACTCGCCAAAAGCTGTGTTAATCCTTACCAGAGAAAGACAGTCTCAACTTTCTCTTCCTACCTGAACACAAGGATCTTGTCCCCTAGCTTAACACTTTCCTCAATCAGGTGGAATAGTAGTACCATCTTGGGAGAGTTTTCCAAGACTCCAGTCTGGTAATTAGTCAGAAGGTCCTTGGCCTGCAAGAAAAAAATGAGACAGCTGGGAGCAGGTCCAAAGCCAGATGATCAGGAATAAAATTCTCTCCAAGACCATGGCCCACTGGCCACCTTTAGAGTTCCCTGCACAGACCTTGGCAGTATACTACATTGTGCACCTGACTCTCTCACAAAGTGGGCCATGCACCATCTAGTTTCAGCATTACTTTATGGTTATTATAGGATCTAATTGACTCACCCATTCATATGTGACAATGTTGTTGCCTCGCTCCTGGAATGGGTTGAAGCCAACCCCCTGTAGGAACTTGCTATTGGTTGCCTCTCCCATTGAGGAAGCCAAGGTTGTATCCTCTCCCTTGCCTTTTGTTCCCTGTGGTGGGCAGCGGGCACTGGTCCCTGCTGAGCCAAGTTCTTCTACGTCTAGGTCCTGCTCATTGGCCAGGTTCTCCTTCTGAAGAGCTTCATACAGCACATCAGGGTGATTCCAGATCTGAGGTAAAAGGAAAGAAAGGGGCATAAGACAGAAAACATTCCAAGGGTGTCCCAGAGAGTGTGGAAATTTACACCTCACACAGTACACACTGTCACACCAAAAGCTAATGTACCTCTAACACCTTCAAAAAGCCTGCACATTTGCTTTTACTATCAGCTCTGATGACCACAACACATGACTGGGAGAGTTCATACCAAAGCAATTCCAGTATGTCTGGTATCTAATCCAAAAGGCTGCGTCATAAAACTTGCTTTCTTATTCAAATAAGAATAAGAATGTTTTTGTTTCACTATGTGGCTACAGTCAGCTACCATATGAAACAAGTCTAATTTCTTCCTATGAACAAGATGTATCTGACTTATATATGACCAATCATATGTCATTTCAGTGATCATTCCTAGCAATAGTTGAGAATTTCTGGAAGAAGAGCAGGAAGGAGGAAGGAAGAAAAACACTGGTCCTGAAGCACTATCATAGACCACTTTTGTTTTTGTTTCCTGGCTCTAGTCTACAACTGTGGCTACAACAGAAATACTTTAAAGAAGCATTTCTGAAGTAACTCACTGAGGTCTATGTGCCTCATCTGTCCACATACATACATTCTAGATGACTTATTGAAGTAGTGAATAATCAAGAATAATACATAACAGGTCTGCTGAGAGTACAGCCAGGGTACAGAATAAAAGAAATAGTTCCCTCACTAACGGTATGAAAGAGATTAAAATCTGATAAAAAATAGATCAGACATAAAGTTGTTCACATAACTTGTCTAAGCTGTACATTTCTTAAGAACTGATAATATTAACAGTCCAAAACTCCACCCCACAATATTCCTCCATCACCACCACCCCTTTTCCAAGTGAAAAGGACAATGAAAAAAAAGCAATTTCTCAAGTTTAACAAGTTGTGCAACTGAGCTGCAAGAGGTACCAGTTATACTACAGTTGTGCACACGCCTAAGAACTGTGTGGTGCACAATCAGCATATGTTTTCTTTGAGCCCTTACAGAGCACTCCAGTGCAGGGAACTGAGATGGCCTCTCCAGCTTTATTCTTCCTTTATCAAGGACTCCCAGCAGAAGTAACTCACTGAGGACTGTGTGCATGCTTAGTCCCCAACACAATCTTCCATGAGGCCCCAACGCACCTTACAGCACACGCAGAAAGCCTTGAGAGGGTTCAGCCCCAGCCAGCCACTGCTACCACAGTCTCGGAAGCGGTCCATGAACTGTGTATACAAATCTCGCTGGATCTTAGATAGCCGCACCAGGATCACATTCTCTTCCTTGGCAGGGAGATGAATCTTCAGCACAGTGTGGCCTCTCCTAGAGAGGCAGAGGTTAGAAGTGGCCAGGAAGTGTGGCCAGATGGGAACAATGCAGGAAGAAAACATGGCCTTACACTCCTGACACACCTTCCTTTCAAGGATCTCAATATACAACCTTTCAATAATGCAGAGTGGTTTGGCACCATGAAGTAAAAACTTGTCTTAAGAATAACAACCAAACCAGGAGGCAGAGTGGCCTGTCTTAGGCTATTACTGATTGAGTGACCAAGCCCAATTCCCCCGGCTCCTCCTTTCTCTATACATGCCATCTTAACAAGGTTTTAAAGGGACTGCTTTAAACTAATCTGAGCTAGCTACATCAAATAAGATGCTGAGACTGGTAAGGCCATAGCCCTAGAACCACCACTTCTATTCTTTCACCCAACTCTGCAGAATGCTAGCTCTCTTGCTTTTCTCAGCAAGTAAAGCAGGTATCTCTAGAAATTTCTTTTTAATTCTTTTTTTAAGGTATTAATTTTATTCATTTATTTATTTATATGCAGTGTTGAGAATCAAACCCATTGCCTCACACATCTAGGCAAATGCTCCACCACTAACCCCAACCCCAGCCACATCTCTAGTAATTTTAAAGATAACTTTTGAGTGAAGCACTTCTAGGTCAAATTTTCATAAGACCGAAATGGTCTACTAGCTATTTACACATATCTAGCTATTATCTACTAGGTATTTACACACAGGAAAGTTTATTACTACGAAGAGCCCTCACTCATAATAGCCTTGGAAAGCTCACTGCCCCTCTGAGGATGCAGAAAACAGGGCCCTGAGCCTGGCTTACCTCTGCACAAAGCCCTCCAGGAGGCTGTGCAGGACATGGCTCCGGTACCGCATGAGGCGGACGTCCTGAGGCGTGCTATCGATACACTGCCCATTCAGAATAGGGCGTTCAAACATGTTGCTGAACTCCTGTCGAGTGCCAAGGAAATCAGGGCGTACAAAGTCCACCATGCACCAGTACTCGATGAGGTTGTTCTGCAGGGGGTACCCAGTCAGCACCACCCTGCGGCGAGAGCGTATGTTCTTCAGAGCCTGTGAGGTGCTGGCCTGGCAGTTTTTGATGCGGTGTCCCTCATCACAGATCACCACATCAGGACCAGGGCGGCATAAAGCCTTCTCAAACTCTAGGGAGGGAAGAGGATCCGGAGTCAGAGGGTGAGAGGGCCTGCTCTTAGTCAGTAATATGAGAAGTAGGGGAGCACCCTGGAGGAGACAGAAGAAATGAAGGAAGCAGGAAAGCAAGAGTCAGCTCCCGTTGGTGAAAGGGAGCCAGCCATCCAAGCTCCTGCATGTTTGGTGTGATGCTAACCTGGCCATTGACTCTTGCAACAGGCATCCCCTCTCCCCTATCCCTTTCCTTATTTCTTTATTCATTTTTAGGCTAACAGTAAAACTGACTTGCAACCCTAGGACTTATACTAACCAACTGGACAGTAGAGAGCAGTAACCACAGAGTGCCAGCTCAGGATTAAAAATACAGCTGGTAGGAATAATCCAAATCCTTCACTAGGATTTCACCATTATCAGCATCTTGGCTTCTTCTGAGGACTGGCTGCTAGGAGCTAACTAAAAGACAAGGTCTTCCCATAATTATTCACCAATCATTGCTAAATGGCAAATTCATTCCAACTCTGCCCCCGAAGAAAACCTAGACCAAACATAATCTCACAGATGAAGAGAACTATAAAATGATAGCCTCTGAATGTTTCAAAAACTTTCTTCCCACTGGGTACAGTGGCATACACCTGTAATCTCAGCAACCCAGGAGGCTGAGGCAGGAAAATCACAAGTTCAAGACCCCATCTCAAAATAAAAAATAAAAAGGGCTGGGGATGTAATTCAGTGATAAAGCACCCTTGTGTTCAATTCCCAACACAAAAAGAAAACAACTTTCTTCCCCAAATGGGCAAAAGCTCCTTAGAGGAAGAAATAGAACTACGAGTGGAATGGTTTTCCCTAAAAGCAACTAGGGTAAATTCTTTTTCATAAATTTGCACATAACAGTACTACTCTTATATCTTTCTATGAGTGATTCAAATGCTTTATAAACTGGATGCAGTGGTACACACCTGAAATCCTAGCTACTTGGAAGGCTGAGGCCACCCTCAGCAATGTAACAAGACCTTTTCTCAAAATAAAAAAGGGTGGGGAGGTAGAACATTAATGCATAAGGCCCTGGTTTCAAAACCCAGTATGAAAATTTTTTTAAAAAATTAAAAATTTTCTTAATGTTCTCTCAGAACATCTCTAGGAAGTGGTAAAGGGAGTAAGTACTCTTCCAACTATTCTGTGAGAGAAACAGGACAAATGAGTTTCTCTAAGATGGGTGTGGCCTGCATGAAAAGCAGCACATTCTGAGAGCCACTGGAGATTATCTAACCCATTGTGGAGACTAGGATTTCTGGTTCATGATAATTCACATCAATAATAAACTTCATACCTGACTAGCAGACATTATTTCTTTTTTCCTGAAATACCCCCAAAAGTATTTCTGGGACAGGTTGCCCACCTCTCCGAAACTCCTGCTGTCGATCTTCCTCATCCAGATCAATGATGACCGGGTGAGAACGTTTCTTGGTTTTCTTCGGTCTACCTGTGGCAAAGGATTTCTTCAGAGTGAGGAGTCTGTACATTTCGTACCCCATCAGCAGCACCCCACCCTCTGACACCCAATCAGCCATCACTTTAGCACGAGATGCCATCGTCCTGCAAGAGTAAACAGAGAAACTTGTGTGAGGTATGAATTATATCTCAATAAAGTTGGGGGTGTGTTTGTGTTTGTTTTTTAAAAGGTAAACAGAGATAAAGTATTATTGCTTTTGGGAATAAGCAGGAAAAGTATTATTCCTCAGGAAGAATCTTTTATACTCAAAGCTTTGTTGTATATTTAGACTCCTTACTGACAAAGATTTCATGTAGTATCAAGTATAGGACTGGTCAGTTGCCTGAGACTTTCCTTTCTCATTCCAGAGACCCTACTTGTAATTGAGGATGAACTGGGTCATTGACGATGGTTAAACAGAAGAAATACAGTAATTCAATGACAAAAGGCATGAGAAAATACCCCCCTTCAATACACATTCATGACTAAAATCCAACATTTAAGGGAGCATTTCAAGTTATTCCCATAATAAACACAAGGTCAGAGAAAGAAGGGCAACACTCTGCATTCCACCTGCCCAGGTTCCAGTGAATGAAGAGCCAAGAAAAACAGTAAAGGAGCATGGATAGTAGAGACCAGATGACCTTCATCATAGCCACTCCACTCCTAAACACCTGAGCCCTCACTGTGTTTCACATGTTGACTACCAGTCCTAAAATCCAAAAACAGAGAGCAGAGGATTAACCACTTGTTGAGTCACTCAGAGTCTCCTCATTTTAATGTGTGTGACCAAAAATGACAAAAAGCAGTCTCTGCAGAAAATAAAGTCTACCTTCTCAATTAGCCATGTCAATGAGAGAAAAGGGCAACATGGACAGTTGGCTTGAAGCAAGAAGTTCTTCAGAGTTTTGGAAACTGAGTTTACTTTACAGAATAGAAATATAATTTTATTTAAATCTAAAGCAAAACAAGATTTACACCTTTCAAAGTTGTGGAAATTGAACCATTAAAGGTTAATAACTATTGATCCATGGCTTAAGAGAATGATGATCAGGTATCTACAAAAAAGAGAAATATAAAAAGTAAGAAGTTAAAAGATGAAAAATTCCATTCTGTCATGCTGATTTTTTTTTCCATATACATTGGAAAATGTGACCATGCCCACAGGTTTTTCATGACATAAAAGCATCCTAAAGTAGAACACAAGAAATTTCTCAGGCAACGTAACTCTGCTTTTACTAAAAAGCTGGGTAGAGGGTAAAAAAAGTAAGTAGTAAGAACAGAGAAGGACACATCAAGAAAACAAAAGCAATCTGGGAAGACAGAGTACATAGTCAAATAGACTGCCCTAACATCTAGATCCAAGAAAGAAGTCAAAATGAAGGGGCAGAGAAGAGAAGGCAGGTCACCTACTTGTGCTCATCATTCAAGATGTGAACTTTAAAGAACCGAGGCTGGATTTCTTCAGGCTTGTTGTCAGCTGGAAGGGATTCAGGAGCAGGAAGCCACATGTTGAACTCTGCCAACCAGTTCTGAAGAGTATTAACCTATCAGAAAGCCAAGTCAAAAAAGAGTCCTAAGAAACAAGTTCAGCCAGGCACAGTGGTGCATGCCTGTAATCCCAGTGGCTTGGGAGGCTGAGGCAGGAGGATTGTGAGCACTTTAGCATGGCCTGAAGCAACTCAGCGATTCCCTGTCTCTAAATAAAATATAAAAAGGGCTGGAAAGTGGCTCAGTGGTTAAGTGCCCCCTGGTACAAAATTTAAAAAAAAGAAAGAAAAAAGAAAAGAAAATGTGGTTAAGCACCCCTGGGTTTAATCCCCAGTGCAAAAAAAAAGAAGAAGAGAAGGGGGTGGGGGTGGGAAGGCAAGCTCAGAGCTGATTTCATCAAGCTTTTCAGTGTCTGGTGAAGACTTTAACTAGAGTTCTTCAGAGCGATGACTATATGGTGTCTTCCCCCAAACCCTTACCGGAACAATGGCAAGGACTGTTTTGGCTGGCGTATGGCGGAAGAGGACATCAATGAAGGAGATCACTTGCAGAGTTTTCCCTAGACCCATGCTGTGGGCCAGGATACAGCCAAAGCCACTACTGGTCTTAAACCTCTCCAGTGACTCCACGAGGTTATCATACAGGAACCGGATCCCGCCAATCTGGCCAGAAACAGAAATAAATGTCAGAGGGACTAGAAAAGACCAGGGCTCTATTTGTACTCACTTTGGAATTAGTCAGAATTAAGTAAATGAGTAGATATTACAACACACAGCTGGTGTGGACTCCACAGAAGTTTCCCTATAACCTGGAGAAAACAGAAAATCATTCATCCGGTACGACGTCCCACCTGATATAAGGATCTGCTGTACCAAATTCCTGATGGGGGCTTTCATTCAGCCTGGCTGTCCTCAGCCTCTTCCAGACAGCTCATTCCTTAAGGGGCAATTCTTGCTGCTGCAGTTCTTAAGCTGAGTGTTGTTCTACCTTCATGGAACTTTCACCCACTGGTTCTAGATCCAGGCTTTGGATCAATACAAACTATTCTTTTCCCAACTATTAGAAAGTCCCTCTGACATCTGACAGTCATATCTGTTGTGAATTCATGCCTTCCTAATCAAAGCCCTGCTCTTTTAGAGAGCCTCTCGAGCTCCTCATTTTTGATCCCACAGAGGAGTACAAGAGCTGTTAGGCCAAGAGCTCCAGCAATTTCTATGTGTCAAGGAAAATCTTGTCTCTTCTCTTTCCCCTACCCTTCATATTCACAGGAATCTTGAAGTGCCAACTGCTAGGAGAAAGGATCAGGCTATTCCAACAGCTATTCTACAGGATCAAACTTGTACTTTACAGAATGTGATACTAGTAACCACAAACAGGCAATGAAGTTCCCAGCAAGGAAATAGGAAAAGAAAAGGAGGGTAAGATTTGTTGTACCTGATGAGGTTTCACAGCCCGTGCCAACTGTGGGGCGAGGAAGACATTTTCCTCCTCTGGAGGGTGGTTCAGGTTGACAAGAACCCGCCCAAGAGCATCATGCTGGTTTAAGGCATCATTCACATGGGTGCCACCCTTCTCCTCTTCCTCGTCCTCCTCGCTGACAGACTCACTGCTGTCCACAATGTGAAGAGTGTCCTCCTCTCCAGAGCTCAGTTCAATCACCTCTGAGACACCAGTAAAACAAAACGAAAACCCAGAGAACAGAGATAATTTACTGGTGGTAATCAGAAGTGTGTGTATCCTTAGTTAGAATTTATCATTAGTTATAAAAATTTTGATTCCCCCCCCCCTTCCATCTTCAAGCTAAGGAGAAAATTTACATTTACTAAAGTAAGTCAGGGAAATCTGTCAAAGCTATGCTCCAAACCAAAAGAATAAGAAGTGAACTCTTTTTTTCAAAAGTACAGTCAATCTCAGGTGAACACCTGGTCAGGAGGAAGGAAAGGCACCTCCAGCTGGATCTTACCATCTCGACTGCTTTTTTCATCCTCACTGCCACTGCTACTGTCCAAACAAATGACTTCCTGGGCCAAGACCCGAGGAGGCAGTTGAGGACCATCACTTGCTCTTAAGACAATTTCCTCTAGAAAAAGAAAGACGGAAGGGAATGTCAAAACCACATTGCTATCATCAACCTGATCTCTAGAAAAATCCCTTTGGCATGTTAAGATACAAAGTTACAGAAAAAAAAAAAAAAATCACAATAAAATCAATTTGAGTACTTCATTTTTATCTATTTCTACTTTCAAAATCAAATTCTTCTGATGTGTACTCAAAAGAAGCTGAATGACTTTAAAGGATTCCAGGAGGCCACAATCTTACTACAGGTCTTTCTTTTACCACTGTGCAAGCCCAGGGCCTCTTTTCTCTGCCATCTCCACTGCTTACCAGGGAGGAACTCTAGAGGAACAGTAGGAATGGGGGCTGCATAATCTTTCCTCTGCTGCTCCAGGCGCTTCCTTCTTTCCAACTCTTCCTGCTGTGCTGCTTTGGTAACAGGCTCCAATTGATCCTCCCGCAGTAGCTTTCTAAACATTAAAAATAGCAATTGGGTTCACTTAATATTTGGGCAAAGTAATGTCAAGATAAAAAGGAAATGACCACTGCTAAGCTCAGAGAATTGACAGAGGAAGAGAAGAAATCATTTCAGCCCCATCAAACCTATGCAATGGGCAGGGTTGGGGGGTGGGGTGCTTCAAGCTCAGATAGTACTAGGCTAACATACTTTTCATGTTATTTAACTTCCTGACAGATGCCCCTGTGGACTTTTCTTTGTACATACAAAAGATCGAGAGTAAAATAGGGTAATATTGTTTATAAAACTGAAAACTGGCATTAAAAATAAAGTTTTTATGTGGAAAAGAATTAGAGGGATTCTACATCCTTAAGTTTAGAGTAAATATCTTTAAATTGTCATTACATTTTAAAAAGAAAAAGTGGGGCAGGAGGTAAAAATGATATTCATCTCCTTTCAATGGCACAAGGTGTTATTTGGCAAAAGGAAGAATTGTTGGGGATTTGGAAAGTGAAGGAAGCTCACATTTATTCATCTTTAAACTCAAGGAAGAAGTCTTGTCTGGGGCCAGAAAGACCTGCGCCATCTAAAATTGAGTTCTAAGAAGATGAGAATTCAATTTTCGCTTTTAAAAATCTCTTCTAGTTTTGAGAAAAAGATAGATAGATAGACAGACAGACAGACAGACAAACAAATGAAAAAACAGAAAGTCCAACTCAGAGCACCCTTTCATCCTCAATTGCTACCCAAGACCTCCTCAGCAGCAGTCAAGGCCCTTCCACATCCTCTCTGCATCCTCCTCGGACAGCTTAAGCCACTGGTCCTCAGCTGCACCTTCACTATTAAAGAGGGCACACAGTTGAGCACTTTCTCCTTCAGAGAGAGGTCACTCCTGTCCAAACCAGTCCTTCTGCTACTGCTAACCTTATGATGAAGGGAAATACTTCTACTCCTTACTCTCTCCTCTTACCCAAAGCACAACTCACCGTATGTTTCTTCTCATGTGAGAGGGTTTCTGAGCTCTCTTCTTTTTGGGGTCCTCAGAGGCTAGGATCTTGCCTTGGGGGCGCTTAAGCTGCTCTGAAGGCTCAGACTGAGATGAGGTAGTTGAAGTGCATCGCGGCGGCCGCTGTCCATCTTCCCCCAGGTGGTCGTGTTCAGTGCCACACATGCCTTCCAGGGATTGGTCTGAAAAAACAAGGGGAGAAAGGTGGTTGTACTGGGAGTGGGATTTGATTACAGACACTCCTGGGTTCAAATCTCAACTCAGCAACTTAATAGTTGGTAACCTAACACATGTTAAGATCTCCCTGAATGTTAACAGATTTATCTATTAAATGAAAATAATGATGCCTACCTTACAAGGCTGTTGTGAGTACTAAAATAGTGTGTGTGCCTAAAACCAAGCCTGGCTCAGAGTAGGACTACAAAAAATGAAAGCTATCAAATTGATACTATTTATCAGGATTAGGAAGCTTCAAGGCCTCAGAATACTCAGAATGGCACAAAGCTGAGCAGCTGAGTTCCAAACACAGCTCACAATCACTTGTGTGACTCGAAGCAATTCCCTTCATCTCTTGCCTTCTTCCATGTCTTAAAGTGTTCACCCTTTCAATTTGTTGACCATTTAATGAGGGATTACAATATGGCAAGAACTATCCTACATGCTTCAAGGAATATTTTCAAGACTTCTTCCTTCCAAAGATGTTTGTTTTCTATTGATGGAGATAAGTCATATATAGACAGATAAAACATGGCAAGGTGTACTTAATATTACAGAAGGAGCAGATCAATAGACCTAAAGAACTTAGAGGTTTAAAGCATCATTTTTTAGCCAAAGGTAATTAAATAAACCAAGAATAATTATGTTACAGTTACAGGAAATACAAGGCTATTTTATGTAATAAGCACACAGGAATTATATCATATTGAAGATAAAATGTGACTGAGGCCTTGAAAGATTAGAATGTCTAAAGTAAATACTTGATAGGAAAAAAGGAAGAGATCCCTGAATGACATTTGTTGCATCAAATACCAGCAAGGACAGGGGTCAAGGCAGGAGGGTCCATGTACACAGTCCCACGCCTCAGCCTGCTAAAGCAGCATTCTGCTAAATGTGCAGGCCTTGAGAATCACTTAAGCCATAAAGCCTGTTCTTAAATCTGCCAGAACCCCCAACTACACAACCAAAAGGTCTTTCCCAAAGGTAAGAGCAATTTGAAACTAGAACACAAATGCCAAAACCAAGCAATGGCACTTGGCCCTTATGGAGGAAGGACCCAAATATATTGTGTTGGTGACTGTGTTTAACCAAACTACAGACCTTATTTGGATTTCACCAGTTTTCCACTAATGTCTTTATTTCTGTCATAGGATCCCATCTAGTACACTATGTTCCCTGTAGCTGTCACGTCTCCTTAAACTGAGGCAGTTACTTAGCCTATTCTCATGACTTCGATAGTGAAAAAAACACCAGATGCTGGTCACATGTTTTTTTAGACTGTCCCTCTAACTTGAGTTTGACTGTTGTTTTCTCATGATTAGTTTGGGGTTATAACTTCTAGGGGAAGAATATCACAAGAGGTGAAGTGCCCTTCTCATCACATCTTATCAGACATACATAACTTACATTTTGATCACTTGATAAATGTGGTATTTGCTAAGTTTCTCCACTATAAAATAACAATCTTTCCTTTTCTATATTTTATTCATCAGAAGTCTATCATTATGCTCAGTCTACATTCAGGAGAAGAGAATTAATAAGCTCCATTTCCTGGAAGGAAAAATGTTAAGAAGAATTTCAGAATATATGCTAAAACCAAAAAAAAAAAAAATACTTGGGGAAAGAAACTTTGAGGCTATACAACTAACCTTTCTTAAGTTTTGCTTGTAATACTGAATTTCGTATTTAATACTGAATTTAATATTAAACCCAGGGTGCTCTTCCACTGAGCCACATCCCCAGTCCCTTCTATTTTTCATTTGAAAGCAGGTGGCGGGGGTGTACTGGGGACTGAATCCAGGTATAGTGGGGTACTGTCCTGGTTTGGGGGTATAGAGAGGAGGCTAATGTCGTCACTGTGAAAGTGAGCAGATGGGTGTGTGTGCATGCCCATTCATTCACATGTAGATGCTTGAGGTGATTCACTCCCCTACAGCAACACTGGCAGCATCTTCATTTGCCCTCATTCTGAGGGACCATCAAAGGTTTCAAGCAGGCTGCCTTTGCTTTTTGAACACCAAACGGGAAATGCCAAGGAAGGAATCAGTTGAGGAATGCTCAGAATGGGACCTAAGCAATGGAACATAAGCAAGAGGTTAAAATGCCATACTCCCTTCACCATTATCAATGGATCTACAATAAGCTTTTTACAAAAGGCCTTATAGAGAAAGCTGAGCACAGGGTGGCAAGAAGCATTAAGAATGTTGTGTAGGGCTGGTGCTGTAACTCAGTGGTAAGAGTGCTTGCCTAGCATGTATGAGGCACTAGGTTCAATTTTCAGCACTCAATAAGGAAGCCTGGTTCCATAGTTTCTATATCCAGCCAGATGTTAAGAGCTGTAGCTACAGCTCTGGAATAGAACACATGATACAGAGTCATGAGTTCAATGCTCAGCCCCTCAAAAAATAAAGAAAGAAAAAGGATGCTTCAAGGTAGAGCTCCAAGTCAGACTAGCTGCCCTCCAAATTCATGATCCTCTTCCATCAGTCCTTTCTGACTTCTGTCTGAAACACTATAGGAGGAAAGCTCAGCATTCTGTTTTCCTTTAAAAGAACTCAATCTTTTAGGCACCCCAACCCTCCAAACATTTTCATATTCCTCCTAACTCACAGCTAAAAATGCTTCCCTTCTAAAAAGGGAAGCCAACAAATGAGTAGCTGGATGGACAGCAGACTCCTAAGGAGGGAACAGCCATCGCTAAATGGCCACTTTAACCAACACTGCAGCTTGGGCCACACACCAACCACACTTGCGGCTGGGTTGGCACACTTCAACTTAGTGTTTTGCTGGTTCCTCTGAAATGGGTCTGATAATGACCTTTGATACTCTCCTGATCTTGCTTGTTTCTATTTCATAAGTAAATCAGTTGAGCAATCATTTGGAGGTACAGTTGGAGGTAAGGTTATATAGTAGGCAGATAGTACAGAAATCAGAATATAGAGAGCAGGTCTTAAAGGTCAGGCCAAGGGATCTGAAAATGATCAATAAAAACTTGTTGCCAACTATTGTATTCCTTGTTCTGGCTTCTGCATGGCAGAGTGGGCTGCTCCGGGGAAGAGAAAGAACAGAACCTGCTGGACTTTCAACATCACAGATTCACTATCAAACATTCATTCCAAGTTATAAGGCCTGGCTTTGTGTACTCCCATCTGACATGGGGTTGAATGTAGCCAAGTATAACAACAATATTAAAATGATCAAAGTATATAATTCTTAAGCACACTTAGTTCAGATATGAATTCCCCCCTTTCCTCTATACAAGAGATATAGGTCAAAACCAACTCCACTCCTTACTGCCCAGCATTCTTTGAACAAATCCTCACCCTCTAGGTTCAACAACTATTCTTGTTAAAGAATTTTAGTTTAAACATGTACTAATATCTAAAGTTTATTGTCAAGTATGTCAGTGTTTTACAAGCACTTCATTGCTGCTTCATGATGCTTATTATGAAGTTTCTGAATTTTAGATAATATTATAAGCTGAATGTTTAATAAACTATTCTTATTTTTTTAATTCTATAATTAAATTTTCCCTAAGCCAAAATGTTATGTCGCTATATGCTCTTTTGTACCTTCTGAATATTGAATCATTTAAATTCACAACTTAAGCAAAAGAACTTTCAAAAACTAACCCTCCACAATTTTAGAATATAACCCATCCACTGAGAAAAAAAAGAGACAAAGTCCAGCAACTAAGTAACAAGAAGCTGGGCATGGTGGTGCATGCCTGTAATCCCAGTGAGTTGGGAGGCTAAGGCAGGAGGATTGTAAATTCAGGCCAGCCTCAGCAAATTAGTGAGGCCCAAAGCAACTTAGTGAGACCCTATCTCAAAATAAAAAATAAAAATGGTTAGGGATGTGAACCTTGATTTAATCCCTAGTACCAAAAAATAAATAAGTAAGTTAACAAGACATGTTTTGACAGATAATAAATGTAAATTAGTATCTACTTGGCTTAAAAGTCAATGACTGGGGCTGGGATTGTGGCTCGGTGGTAGAATGCTACCACCTAGCATGTGTGAGGCACCAGGTTCAATTTTCAGCACCATATATAAATAAACAAATAAAATAAAGATCTATCAATATCTAAAAAGAAAAAAAAAAGTCATTAATGACTACTACCACCCTAACTCAGGATCACAGAGTCAGACCCGGATGCAAATACTTCTGAACTTTCTCCTTCACGAGAGCCAGCCATGAACAGCAATCACCAGAATTATATAAACACCAAAGAACACTTACATAAGCTTCTTGGGAATGAGTTATAAGCCACACCACAAATTTTACTAGTCAAACCAATGGGGGAGAATCTTCGACATTTCATTCAATGAGGGCATAAGGTATAAACACTTTCAGGGCCCTTCCTCTTCTTCCTCTTCTCTATAAAAAAAAATTAGTGGATTCCAAGTTTCATCACATTTCCTGATGTCATGTGATAAAATGCATACATCACTACCTTTGATGTATGTGTGCTAAAAACTGCAACTATTTTTGTTTTGGCAATACTTGGAATTGAATCCAGTGGTACTTTACCACTGAGCTACAACCCCAGTCCAAAACACCTAAATTTGAACACAGCTTAATATTTCAATCCTGGTTTACAAAAATACAGGAGACAATGAACTATAAACAAAACCACAGGAATACAATCAACAAAATTAGACTGTGAATCCTTTCCTTCTAGAAATAAATTGCAAGGAAAAAACAAGGGAAAGTTTACAGATTAAAGAGATATAAAAGACATATTCAACTAAATGTGGACCTTGTGGGGATTTGAATAAATTAACAATGAAAATAATTTTTAAAGATAATTAAGGATTATCTAAATGTTTCATGATATAGGAACTACAGTTTTAAAAATTTTAGGTGTTGTAATGATATTGTGTAGATTTTGTTTTGTTAGGACTTGAGATATATAGATATAAATATATATGTACATATGTATTAGGGAATATTATAAATACAC